GGCTGCATAAGAAGTATTTTAGCTATTTCTCACTTTCAGAAAGGATAAAACTCTGCTAAAGAATCTTAGGTAAATTTATCAAGTTTATGCAGGTGGATTAAGTAGATGGTCAGGCCATATAAAGTCTGGAATCAAAGAGACTGGGGTTTGATCTTTGATGCTAATATTTACTAGCTCTTGTGAACTTCGGGAAGATGTTAGTTACTTGGTTCCTTCATCTGTAAAATTGGGATAGTCATATTTCCAAAACCATACCAAACTCGCACTTAGTTCTAAAGACTAAGATGTGGATAAAACAGCACAATGCCTGACACGTAGCAAACACTCAATATATGTGAGCTGCTGTTATTGTTTTCATTTTTATTATTTTTACACCCCTCAGTGGAATTGTTTTGGGCTTAGCTCCCTGAATCACATTAATACTCTAGACATGAAAGATAAAGTTCTGTTGCAAATACAATTTAATACTATTATATAATAGTATTAATTATTAATTTATAGTTATAATTTAAGAAGCTGTGGTGGCACAGTGCCTAAGGCATTTGATTGCTAGCCAGAAGGTTGGTAGTTCAAACCCACCAGCCACTCTGCAGAAGGAAGGTTGGGCAATCTACTTCCGCAGTGATACCACCTCAGAAACCCAAGGAAGGGTCACTATGAGTCACAATTGACTCAACGGCAGTGAGAAGGCATCTGGGAACAAATGTGTGCATTGTGCCACCTTATGAGCAGGAGAGGACATGCAATTTCCTGAATGGCTGCCCTCAGTGAAATTGGGAAGGGAAGCTGTACCTCAAGACTCCAGACTCCAGGGGGCACCACCTACAATGTATTTGAGAGTTATGAAATGTGCAGGTAATTCTGTACCCTCTCCCAGGGTTGCCCTAGGCCATCTAAAGAAATAATTTAAATGAATCTTTATCCATTTAAACTCTACAGAGTGCTGCAAAACCAACATGAAAATTCATGAATTTGGAGCCAGTAAACCTGTTTCTATACCACTCATCTGTCAGTTTGTCATACTGTGGTGGCTTGCATGTTGCTTTAAGGCTGGAGGCCCTCTACTTCTGAAAAAATTGACCACTGAAAATTTTCTAAATAGTAGTGGAACATTGTCTAATATATTACTGGAAAACTGTCTAATATATTACTGGGAAACTTTATGAATAGCTCTGAAATATTGTCTGATATAGTGCCAAAAGATGAGCCCTTCAGGTTGGAAGGCACTCAAAATATGACTGGGGAAGAACTCCCTCCTCAAAGTAGAGTCACTCTTCATCACATGGATGGAGTAAGGCTTTCAGGACCTTCATTTGCTGATGGGGCACAACTCTAAATGGGAAGAAACAGCTCCAAGCATTCATTAATAATCAGAATGTGGAATCCACAAAGTGTGAATCTAAGAGAATTGGAAGATGTCAAAAGTAAAATGGAACGCATAAAGATCAATATCCTAGGCATTAGTGAGCTGAAATGGACTATGCAAGGCATTCAGCTGTGTGGATTATAACAAATTATGAATAATATTGCAAAGAATGGGAATTCCAAAACACTTAATTGTGCTTATGAGGAACCTGTGCATAGACCAAGAGGGAGTCTTTCGACCAGAACAAGGGAATATTCATGGTTTAAAATCAGGAAAGGTGTGCATCAGGTTTGTATCCTTTCGCCATATTCAACCTGTATGCTAAGCAAATAATCCAAAAACCTGGACTATATGAAGAAGAACATGGCATCAGGATTGGAGGAAGACTCATCAACAGCCTGTGATATGCAGATGACACAACCTTGCCTGCTGAAAGTGATGACTTGAAGCACTTACTGATGAAGATTAAAGACTACAGCCTTCAGTAGGAATTATACCTCAACATAAAGAAAATAAAAATCCTCACAACTGGGCCAATAAGGAACATCACATAAATGAAGAAAAGATTGAACTTGCAAGGATTTCATTTTATTTGGATCCACAATCAACACCATTGGAAGCAGCAGTCAAGAAATCAGATGTTGTATTGCACTGGGCAAATCTGCTGCAAAAGATCTCTTTAAAGTGTTGAAAATATGTCACTTTGAAGCCTAAGGTGTGCCTAACCCAAGCCATAGTATTTTCAGTCACCTCACATGCATGTGAAAGCTGAACGAAGAATAAGGAAGACCAAAGAAAGGTTGACACCTTTGAATTGGGTATTGGTGAAGGATACTGAAGATATCACAGACTGACAGAAGAATGAACACATCTGTCAGTCATGGAAGATGTGCAGCTGGAAAGCTCCTTAGAGATAAGATAGGCCAGACTTCATCTCACCTATTTTGGTCATGTTGTCAGAAGGGACCTGGAGAAGGATATCCTGCTTGGTAAAGTGGAGGGCTAGCAAAAAAGGGGAAGGCCATCAATGAGATGGATTGACACAGTGACTGCAACAATGGGCTCAAGCATAGCAAGGACTGTGAGGATGGCGCAGGACCAGGCAGTCTTTTGTTCTGTTGTACATAGAGTCACCATGGGTTGGAATCAACTTGATGGCACCTAACAACAACAAACCTGTTTCTGCCACTAATTACTTGAGTGACCTTGAGTAAGTCACCTAATTCCTCTAGGCCTCATCTACCAAAAGAGAAAGGTTGACCAGAGGATCTAACAATGTGACTTCACCACAGGGAAGAAACTGCTTTCCTTCTGATTTTCTACTGGACTGTGGTTTTCCAATCACTTTCGTTCATTACCACAAGTTTTCGTATGCAATACAGCTAGTTATGCTCTTATCACTCCTTGTATTAGAGCATACAAAACTGTCTACAAGTGGGCCATTTGCCTACTTTTCTTTGACTACTAACACGTTAATTTATTAATTCATTTAACCAAGAAATACTTATTATATGTTCATCATTGTGTCCCCATATACTCACTATTCCAGACACATGTTGTTGTTGTTGTGTGCCGTCGAGTCAGACCCAACTCATAGCGACCCCTCCTTGGGTTTCCGAGGCAGTATCACTACAGAAGTAGATTGCCCCATCTTCCTTCCGAGGGTGGCTGGTGGGTTTGAACTGCCAGGCTTCTGGTTAGCAGTCAAGTGCCTTAGGCACTATGCTACCAGAGCTCACTTCCAGACACATAGAGCTACTTATTATTCCCCCTAGCACATAAGATAGTTTTTGTGTCCATGCCTTTGCTTATGTTGTTCCCTTTGTTAGGAATGACCTCTCATTTTCTTCCAGAGCAACTCATGTTCATCACAGTGCAAAAATTTTCAGTGCATCATCTGTGTTTTCCTGGTATTCCTCACCCTCATTATAGTACTCAACACACTGTCTTGAAATTCCTTGTGTATCTGTGTAATGAGGTAATATCTTGATATGCTCAGAAGTGTAATTTTTCTCTATAATTTCCATTAACCTCTATACTATAACCTCTATACTTCCCTCACCACTCAGGCTATACAGAAGGCTTAGTATATGTACTGCTCTAGAAGTAGGGTTATTACTGCAAAAATGAACACAGAAAAGAAGATTCCTTGCACAGATTTGAGCATCAAAATTGACTTGTGAGATCATGACACTCTTATGAAGCTGAGAGCTATGGGAGAAACTTTTTTTAGATTTCAAAAGCCTGTAAAAGATTCTGGAGTGAAGAAATGAAGAACCAGACTTTCCAACACCTTCATCCCCACCTTCACCAACAGATTAGGTGGTAGTTGCCCATACATTCTAGAGAGTTAGAAAGGGTTCATGGCTCTTTCCACCTACCCATTCTCGAGCCAATTTCTAGGTACGAGCTGAGGACCTGGGGATCTGAATAGTGAGAACGTATGCTCACTCTTCTCTGGGACCTGGAAGGCAACAGCAATGCTGATGTTCTCTGGCTCTCTCATGTGGGAAAGGAGAAAATGGGGTGTGGTGTTTCTGTGCAAGACATAGATAAGAGAGCCTCTAGTTTCTGAGTGGCCTGGAGACCATCTGGAAGTTCCTATGTTCCCAAGAAGCAAGAGATGGGTAAAAGCTCCAAAGGGTCCAGAAGTCATGGTAGAGGGATGAAAAGTAACCACCATGGCCCTCATGACCAGAGGCTCTGTAGACGGCTACTAGCAACAAATATGTCCTATCCATATGCATTGCTTACTCTTCTTTGTATCACCATTAGCTAACACAGTAGCAAATAAATGTTAACTTTATGAACAGTTACCAGGGAAACTGAGTTCTGTTTGCCCCATTTTCCTCAGTTCTCATGTATCCTCCAAGTACAATTAGTAATCAAATAACTCCAATACAGGGGCTCTGTTGAGGAAATATGAAAAGCAAATGATAGGTATATAGATTTCAAAATCTTGAGTACAACAAGGTCTCTGAGTGCAAGTTGCGACTGGAAATGAACACCTGAAGTCTTTTTCATCACAACATTTTATTATATTAGTATTTGATATATTAATTTTTCTCCTAAAGTTTTATATAATCAACCAGTCATAAATTTATGGACAGTATCCTTACATATATAGATATGCAGTCATTCCAGCCAACTTCATCTATAGTTAGCAAATAATAAACATATGTATTAGATCTTTGTCCCCACCTTTACCAAACCCAACCCATCCTGTGCAGCTGCACACACACACTCTTACATTTTGATTAGGTTTTCATCTACATGGGACAGAGGCCTGTTTTACCAACAGAGCTCCCAGCTCTTTGTGGCACTGTATCAGGGTGACTGCATGGCTAGGAGGTGGTCATAACAGAGCATGAACAGAGTAGACTAAGGGCTTCTTCATGCTTTCCATCCATTTTTCAGGGAGGTAGAAAATGGAACAATTCAGGACAATGTTATGATTCTGAAGAACCCCCAGAAAGTTAATACTATATCTAAAACAAAGCTTTGAAAATTCCACGTAGGTCTTATTAAGACTCCTACGAAGTGGAGGGCATTGGGGACAAGCAGGACTTGTTGCAGAGCGCTGGGTAAGGTGTGGCATTTCTATAGTTTCTTCAGCTGAGATGATGTGCAGCTCTCAGTCTGCATGGTGGACAAGGGGGGTAACACAGGTGCAGCCAACAGTCACCCATATCTTCTCCAACTGGAAGGGGAAGCAGCCCTGGGGCTCCCTCTGCAGAAGCAGGATCTCTTGTTGGATAGGAACAGAGTTCATGAAATTGTTTGGTTTCCCATTGGCATCAATGCAGCTGGAGGACCTGCACTGGGCCTCTGCAATTGAAGATGGAAAGCGATTCAGGTCCTGGGTGATGCTGCAGGAAGAACAGGCAAAAGGAGAATGGTGAGGCAAGGGAGGTGTTGATAGACAGAGGATGAGAGTCTACAACACTGGGCATGCAATTACAGGAAGGCTGCTCCAAGTAATACAGTAATACAGACAGCCTGGGTTCAAACACCACCCCACTGGCAGTTGCTCAACTCCCTAGGCCTCAGTTTCCTCAACTATAAAATGAGGAGTCTTGTGTTTGTCTCATGGAATTGTTGAGAGTATTCAGTGAGTGATACAAACATATATAAAGCATTGCACTGTCAATGTTAGCATTAAATGAATGTTAGTTGTTTTTATTTTACCTCGATTTGTAATGTGGTTGTTGTCATTATTATTATTTATCCTTTTACCCACAGGTAAAATTAAACCTGTTGTTATCGAATGGATTCCAACTCATAGCAACCTCATGTGTTACAAAGTAGAACTGATCCATAAAGTTTTCTTGCCTGTAATCTTAATGGAGAATGTAATCTGCTGGCAAAGAATATTGAATATACCATGGAATGCCAGGAGCTGTAGTAGCATAGTGCCTAATGCATTTGACTGCTAACCAGAAGGCTGGCAGTTCAAATCCACCAGCCTCGCCTCAGAAGGAAGGTTGGGCAATCTACTCCCGTGATGATACTGCTTTAGAAACCCAAGGAGGGGTCATTATAAGCTGGGTCTACTTTATAATTAACCCAAAAAAATCCCAAACTCACTGCCATCAAGTCAGATCTGACTCATAGTAACCCCTTTTTGGGTTTCTGAGGCAGTATCACTATGGAAGTGGATTACCCAACCTTCCTTCCGAGGAGTGGCTGGTGGGTTTGAACCACCAGCCTTTTGGTTAACGGTCAAATGCCTTAGGCACTACACCACCAGAGCTCCTACTTTATAATTAGAACACTTTTTTTTCTTTTTTCAGGGAAGATCAGTCTCCCTTATACTTACTTGTAATACCAGGGGGAAGTGGAACGGTTGCTGATATTTGGTAAAATGGGACTTCCCTGGTTTTTATTGAGGATGCGAATGTCAAGCATCACAGTGTTCTTCTCTAGAGAGGGGCAATTCTCAGGTGTTTGCAGGGTAGTTGCCTCTGCTTTGGGGATTTTCCTTGCTGCCACCACCCTCAGGACAGTGAGCCCCAACATCAGCAGCAGTAGGGACTTAATCTGTAAAAGAGAGAAGAATACAGTTGGTTAGGGCTTCTGGAGTCATTCACTGGCAAGAGATACTGCACATTCCAGCTGAACTCAGCATTCTTGATCTGTTGTGGATTGAATTGTGTCCCCTAAAAAGACATGTTAAAATCCCTAACCACTGGTACCTGTGAAGGTGACTTTGTTTGGGAATAGGGTATTTGAAGATGTTGTCACTTATCACGAGGTCATACCAGAGTACAGTAGTGCTAGTACCATCTGACTGATATCCTTATAAAAGAGAAGAAACACAAAGAGATACACAGAGGAAAGGTGGAAATGTAAAGAGGCATCTATAAGCCAAGGAACACCAAGAAATGCCTGGGGCTACCAGAAGCTGGAAGAAATAAACATCTGCCCCAAAGCAAACAGAGAGAACTTTGCCCTGCCAAAACCCTGAATTGGATTTCTGCCTCCAAAGCTGTGAGATAATACATTTCCTTTTTAAAGTCATTCACTTTGTGGTGTTTTGTTACAGCAGCTCTAGGAAACTAATATGATCATTTTATGGGATCAGGACTTTTCTTTGAATCTGAAATCCTGCCCTGAAAATGGGAACAGTCATACCTGAAGATAACAGGGCCTCACACTAAGAACTAAACTCACTGGTCTGAAAACTGCAGCCTTCAACAGTCTCAGGTGTCAGAACCTGCAGGTGGTTTGAACCTTAATCTGACTTCCTCAATGAGCTTCCAGTTTCTCTTCTTTCCAATCAGAAAATAATATTTGTCTTACAATAATCTTAACAGGATTAAGTGAAACTTTTTATGTAGAGTACCTATAAATCTGTATGACAAAAAAAGATATTTAATAAATGATTGCTTTTATTTCTAACCTCATAGCCCATGAATCCTGCACAAAATCCTTCCTTTCTGCCCTCTCTCCAACCTAGAAGACCCTGCCCCATCTCTGTTTATTAAAATCCTACCCTTCCATCAAGGCCCAACTCAGTTCCCTGGAACTCTCTCTAAAGTAATTCTATCAAAAGTAGTTTATTTTTCTGAAATCTTAAAATACTTTGCAGTCTAGCACTCAAGCAGCATTTTTGTAATTGTCTTGAAAAGTAGTATTCGTAATCATGTTAGATCTACACCCATTAGATTCTAAGTTCCTGTGAAAACATCTCATGGAATGGGTGCTCCGTAAATACTTTCTGGATGAATGAAAGAATGGATAAGTGAATGAATGAACAAAATGATACAGTTAAATTAAACAATATAGTTAAGCTCAATTTGGTAAGAAAAACATTATGCAAAAACAACTATTACAAAGTTCCAATTATCCATGCTAATTGAAAAACACTGGGGCACTAATGATGCAAAACCACAGAGAATATGGAAACTATTTCTCTTTAGCTCTGGAACATATATTTTTAATATCTACATTGAGATATTGGTTTATCTGGTGTTAAAGCAATGCTGCACAAAGAAAGAAAGTGCTCTGTGAAGACCTGCTTAAAGAAGAGCTAAAAATCTCTCTACTTTCCTTTGTTACAACATGCTTTGTTCATCCAGTAGTCACCACCTCACCCTACTAGGGATGAACAGTTCCCATAACTAACTCTCTACAAAGGGGCCTGATGGCACAATGGTTAAGTGTTGATTTGCTAACCAAAAGGTCAACAGTTCAAACCCACCAGTCATTATTCGGGAGAAAAGAGAGCAATCTGTTCCCATAAAGATTGCAGCCTAGGGAACCCCATGGGGCAGTTCTACTGTTATGTAGTAGGGTCATTATGAGTCAGAATTGACTCATTGGCACATAATGACAACAAACTCTCTATGTAATGAGAATAATAAATGAATCTGAGCTGCTTTCATCCTCTGGGCTCAATGCAGACTCACATCTTCTGTGAGTTAAGCTAGGAAAGGTAATTAGACATGTTGCTTTAAAAGGCCCTGCTTTTTGTATTTTACTGATGCTGAAGACAAGAAATTTTAAGAGTAAACAAAATGTCATGATGTCCTGGTCTGATAAAGCCTGGTGAGACCCCGAGACTATGGCCCATAATTATCCTTCAAGCCTGGAATTGAACTCATGCTCAAGACTTCCAACCAAACAATAGACAAGCATATAGGGTGAACGTTTACATCAGATAGATACACTCCTTAGAATGATCAATCATGGGAGAACAGAAGAACAATATTTACACAGGGAAATAGCTCATGGGGCTGGAATGTAGAGGAAAGAAGACACAGGGAAGAGGTAACTACAAGGAAGAAATGGGAAGAGAGCTGTTGCATTGTGGGGACTACAATCAATGTCATGAAACAAAATGTGTATGAATTGTATAGAAAATGAATTTGCTCTGTAAACTTTCACCCAAATCACAATTAAAATTTTAAAAATAAAATAA